TTCTTGGCCCAGCATGAAGCTGGTGGGTAGCTCAGTTCATAGCAACAGGAGAGAAGAGGGGTACCATCTTTATCTGTCCCTGTGCAACAGGAAACCAGGCCAGTGGGGAGACTGCAATGAAATGCCTGTTCAGAAGGTATTTTGCAAGATTAAACAGCAGAAAATTCAGGAAGTTAATTTGTCCCGAACAGCTAAGGGTTCCATCTAAACCTACCCCTATTTTCACAGGCAGAAAAGCTCTAAAGCTATTATGTATCAGCCACAAAAATAACCTGGTTAATACCACTCAACTCACGCCACAGAAGAAGTGAATTGCTAAACACTGTCTCTGATCTCTTTGCTCACTCCTAGCTTACTGATACTGGTTTCATAATGGAAATGCTGGATGAGCCTGCAGAGCTGCCTCACACAGCACTGATGAGTGTCTGCTGTCACCTTAACAGCAGACAGAATATGCTTTCTGATAGCTTAGTATGACTATATAAAACAGTGCACACAATGGCTGGGAAATAATAAACTCATTAGCTAATTGTGCCCTGTAAAACTCCAGGAGAGACGAGCCAAAAACTAAGAAGCAGGCTTGTTCTACAAATGTCTGTATTTAAAGGACAGAGGAGGGAGAGAGGGGAAGGTAGACTGCAGATCTATTAATGGGCACATATAAGGACATAGGATATCGGTCTAATGTAAAGTGCTTACATAACTTGGACACAAATATCAAGATGATAAAATTATCCCAATACAGCTAATAAAATGGGACCTTAAATGGTACTGAAACTCAGAGTTAGATTTCACATGGTGCCTTTTTTTTTTTTTTTAAGATTTGGTTTTGAACATTACTTTAAAAAAATTTAACTTCAAAAATAAGGAAGCCTTTACAAATACAGTCATAGAACCCACTGGAAATCAAAATAAACCTTTCCTCTTCTCCCCTCACAACTATTTCCTAGATTTAAGCCTTGATGATTTCATTTATTTGTCAATGAGAAAGGCACAGTGCCAGTGTCCTGGCACACATGATCAAACTGATGACGGCTCAGATGTTTTTAAAATGAACCACTGAATTTTGAAAGAAAAACACTTACTGAAGGGAATATTCTGAGAAAAAAAAATTATCAGTGCTTCTCTCTGCTTAGCCATGTGCTCAGGTCCCCACATTCAGAAACCCCCAAAGAGGACTGCTAACCACAATTCTAAGGCCTTTAGAGACCCATTCTAAATGAAGCTGGTAAGCTACTACTCTTATGTGAAATGCTTCCTATAGTTCCTTAAAAGATAAAAAATAAAAAGAAAGAACCGCAACAACAACAAAAGCCAACTTGATTGTCCTCAGTGGAGTCTTCATGATATTACTTATACTAAGAGGATAAACTCTTAAATGGAAAATACTCAAATGTTAGCAGAAGCCAAACACAGGCTGAGGAGAGCTAGTATTAGCTATACTTGAAGCCACCATCATTTTTTGCTCCCTTATCTACAATACAAATCAGGAGATATATTGAATGACTCCAAAGTCATTTTGGCAAACAGAGAAACTGCAGAGCAACTTCTCAATATACACACTGTCCAAGAGAATATTTGTTGGAAGCATAGAACTGTTTACAGCAATCTTCAGGTTAATGGACGTGATCTTAATATCAAGTCATATCTATTTGTACAGGCTACCAATAGGGACTGCAAGTAAAGTTTTATTATTTAAGTTATTTTTAAAAGTTCCTTAAAAATCTTTCTATGGTTTTAAGCTAAAGCAAATAGTTAAACGCTGTGAGTTAGATTTTCATTGTGCAAATGACTCTCTTACAATCTAGCTCAGAATGCAGCACAACCATTAAGAGGATTGGTCACATTTTTAGTTGAAACCCCAGCAAGCCTTCAAATCTGAGAAATGTGAAGGGCAAATTTAGGCAAATGTGATGTAGTATTTCTTCTATTTGGGCTGATACTTCTCGGTTGCTATTTCACAGGTCTGTGCCAATTCGATGCATAAAATCAACTGGGTTCACTGTCCAATAAATACAGGCCACTGAAAAGTTAGCAACATTTAAAAGCTAAATATCCATTTCCTAGAAGTGACCAGCAAAGAGACAGGCTTTAACTGTACCCCTATTCTGACAGGACATGAGTTTCTATTTTCCTGAAATAATAAACTTATAGCTACTTAGGGCATGAATGCAGTCAGTAATGGAAGTCCATACAGTAGACAAAACTTAATCTGCCAGAGAAGTTACTGCCAAGACCTGTTACAGAATGAGCTGCTTAATGCTGATGACCAAGATACTTTTATTTTATTTCAACCTAAATAAACACAATTTCAAGCAGAACCTACTCCACTTACTTTGTATACAGAAACTATCCATTCTTATCAGTTTAATGTATTCACTAAACTTCTAAGTAGAAAAAAAAAAGAATTTAAGTTGCAAGTAATATTGTCTACACATTTTCCAAGGGCTGAAGTCCGCTTATTACTTTAGTCATTTAGCAAACTCTTGACACATATAGAGAAGACCAAAAGTCAGGGATAACTTACTTTATAAAACCACAATGTACGTGAAAAGGAAATGTACAACATTTAATTTGTAATACTGAATAAACCCACAAAATTCTATTAAATGTTTTCTATCTCTGTAACAAAGTGTTGGGTTTTACTTTAAAATTAACTTATTTTGCATTTACTCTTTTGGTTACATCAAACTGACTTTTCCTGATGCAAAAAAAATAACACATTTGAATCAATAAATCTGAATTAAAACTGCCCACCAGTGCCTACTTTTTAAAGTAAGTTTTAATGTAACAACGTACCATAATAAATGCCTCCACAAATCCCTAAGAATATTAAAGGTTGGATGGGAGAAAGGTCCCCGATTCTTTCTTTTGGGATGTCATCAAACTGCTAATGATCAAATAGTGAGGTATTTCCACAGCCTTCAAATTAGCATACTGGTTTAAAACTACTCTTGGTATTTTAAAAGTCTACAGATTAGAACTTTGAGCAGGTTCACAGCTACCATGGCATCCTGAGAGAAAGAGTTTTCTTTAGGAAGGGCAGATCTATTAAAAAACATGACCTATGACAAAAATCAATTTGCTAATCTCAAACCAAACAACGGTATCAAAAACATAAAACTGAGATAAAATGTCCGTCAACTTACTGAGCCTAGTTTGACAGGTAAAGAGGGGGAAGATCAGGCCAGCTGATGCTTCCTTCTGATACAACCCAGAGTGAGCTGGAACACCCCTTTCTAATGAATGAATACCAGGACAAGATCCCCCTGAAATTTTTGAATGTCAAACAGGAGTAAAACGTCCCAAATTCAAAGAACCGGCTCTACTCTCTTGGATAAATCACTGAAGTTTGAAAATACAAACTGATGTCCCACACATGCTGCCCAATAAAGTCCAAAGGTGACTACGCCAAGCAATGCAATTAGACTTGATTTTAAAGCCACTGGAACTGGAAAGCTTTCTCTATTTGTCTTGTCAGCTCTAATAAAAGGCATATTCTCTGGCAGACTGTCGTCTTTCTCTCTTTTCCTAAGAGCGGTTAGTGGCATGTCAAGGAGGAAATACTTTACCATTTTAATTGCCCACTCCCACGACACTCTTTTTATCATAAATGCAAACTTTCAGGGACACCTCCACTTGTGCTAGGTAGGCACTTAGGACTTCAGGCTACCTGGGTGTGACTGGGCCGGAGTAACAGGGCGGGGCAAACTCTCCCTAAGATGGGCATCCCGGAGCGTTCCTGGAGAAATCTGCTCTTCATCCCGGCTGACCCTAGTCAAGCCGGGAATCCTCTGAATTCACACGGAAGGAAAGCTGGAGGCGCTAGAAAGGGCTGGTGGGAAACTGAACCGGAGGCGCCCGCCGGCCCCCTCGCGCAGAACATTAGATGCGCCACAACCTCAGGCTCCGTCCACGGCCTCCCGCCTCTGTGCTCGCAACTTGCACTTCAGCCCAAGGAAGAGCCGGACCGCTGGGGTCCAGATCCGGGAGAAAGGGAGGCTTGGGAACGCTGCGGACCCAGAGAGGGTCTGCCTGGCGCAGGGGACAACCCTCCTCCCCTCTCCAGCGTCCAGGACCGCAGGGCGGCTGCGGCTGGCTGGGGCCCAGCACGTGCGCTAGGGCAGTCCCCGGCAGCCTCCCGCGGAGCCCGGCGGCTCGGGGTCGCGGGGACGCAGCTCCAGGTGAGCGCGCGCCCCTCCAGCTGCGCAGCGCCAGGCCCCCGGGGCGAAGGCTCCCACCTTCCGGCTCGCCAACTCCAGCAGCCAGCTCTGCACCCGTGACGTAACCCGGCATTCGATCAAACTTTCTGGCACCTCAAGCCCACTGGGGGGGAAAAAAAAGAGGGTGCCCGGGCTGGGAGAATCCTCTCCACGGCCAAGCGCGCTGGGCCTAGACCGACTGGGGGTGAGGGGGAGGATGTCACCGAACAGTTTCCTCGCAGTTAGAAAGAACACTAAAACCTATAGCTTCCGCTTCCCACCCGCCCCCTTTCGCTGCCCCTAACCCTTAGTGCGCTCTCTCCGCGCGCGCAGAGCGAGAAGAAGGAATCGGGTTTAGATTTGAAAATAAAAATAAATAAATAAATAAATAAAAACGAACAAGTTTAGTGCTGTTCGGCGGGTCCTCAGGCCCCAGCCCTGCGCCCCGCAAGGCTCCGGGAAGGACCTCTCGGCGGCACGCACCCGAGGCTCCCTGCACCCAAGCCCTGAGCCGGGATCAGGCGGTGCGGGCCGGGAGGCGAGGTCCTCGGTCGGTCCCGGGCTCCCGCCCGGCTCCGCGGCTTCCCCGCGGCCCCGGGCACTCGGAGCCGCAGCCGGCCCGGTCGCCGCGGCTTTAACAAAGAGCGGCGCGGGGCGAGAGGCTGCTTCCCGCCGGCGCCCGGCGGCCCCGGCCACGCAGGCTCGGAGGGCGCGCGCTGCCCGCGGCTGGAGCGCGCCGCTCCCGGCCCAGGCCCGCGGAGCCCGAGCTCCCGGCGCCCCCAGCCCCGGCCACCTCACCTGGGGTTGCTGCTGTTCCAGTAGACGGCGTAGCGGTCGGCGACGACTTTGGAGCCCGGGTCCTGGCTGAACACGCACATCCAGAGCACCAGAAACAGCAGCGTCAACATCTCCACGTGCAACATCACGCCTGGCCAGCGGCGGAGCCTCCGACGCGCCACTCCGGGGAGAGAGCGGGGATCCAGAGGGAGGGAGGGAGGGAGAGGGACGGAGAGGAGAGAGCGGACGCCAAATAAATACGAATAAATAAAACGAAGGGGCGAGGAGAGCGCGGCGAGCGCGGGAGGAGGAGAGAGAGAGAGAGAAAAGGCGGCAGTGGGTTGGGGCGTGGGGTGGGGGGGACAGACTCGCACCCCCGCTGAAGGGCTCGGGAGAGGAGAATCACAAGACGGGGAGACGCGTGACCGTGTGCGGCGGTGGCGGCGGCGGGGGAAGGGGTGCGGAGCTGGGTTTCGGGCGGCGGCCGCAGGCCGGTCACCCCGGGAGAGGGAGGTGCGTGCGGGGCCGGGCGGCGGCGGCGGCGGCGGCGCGGGTCGGGGCAGGCGGCGGCGCACGCTGCACAGTCACCGGGAGGCGAGCGCCGCGGCCGCGGGGAGACATACACCGGCCCGCTGGGCCCGGCTCAGCGTGGGCGCCGCGGTCCGCACGGGGTTCCTCGGCCGCGCTGGGCCCTCGCCGTGCGCCCCGCTCTGCTCCAAGTTACTTTGGCGGCGGGTAGTGGAGCCGCGGGAGGAGGGCGCTGTGCGCGCGGGGCGGGAGGGGAGGGCTGTCCTCACGCTCGCGGCCCCGGGAGGCTGGACGCCGTCCGGAGCCTCCCCCTAGAGCCTCGGCCGGGCGGCGACCCCCTGGCGAGCCTCGCGGGAGTCCTGGGCGCCGCGGTCCCCGGAGGCGCGCCGAGGGCAGAGCAGGGAGGGATCCGGATCCGCGAGCCCTCGCCCTCCGCCGGCGTTCCTGGAACTGCCCGAAGCCGCAGCCGCTCGCGCGGGGAGAGGGGGAAGCGGTGTCGCCTCGGAGAACCTCAAAGAAAAGTTTGGCTCTTCACGTCTTCCAGCGGGTCCCCAGGGGAGTCCGGACCGCAGAGGCGGAGAGGAGAGGCGGCACCCCGGGCCGGGGACGGCTCCCGCTGGCTTCCTTCGGCCGGGTGTGGGTGCAGCGGAGTGAATGGAGAGCAGAGGTGGCGAACCAGCCGGCCAGGCGGGGCCGGGATGCCCAAACCTGCAGGGCGACGCCGAGCCAACCGCCGCGCTGGGAGGGGGCAAACAATCACTTTCCAACGGAGCCCTCCGGGTCCGGGATGGGCGGGCGTCAGGCTCGCTGGACCCCCTCGCCGCGTGCCAGCAGCCCTGGGTCAGCGCTCAGAAGTGTCCCCGGCACTCCGACCGCTCCGGCCCCGAGCCCAGCAACTTGTGGAGGTTCATCAATCAGTTTGGAGCCGGGTAGAGGGAGCAGCACGCACGAGCCGGCGGCGCCTCCCCGATGACTACATCCGAGAAACCTCCCCGACGCGAACCTGCCTCCTCTCTTCCCCTCCTCGGGCACGGCAGGGACGAGAGGTGGACGCCACCGACCGAATCCTAAAAGCCTCTGCCCGGGCGGGAAAAATAAAACTTGGGTGCAGCAGCGCGAGCAGCCTCGGAGAGGCGGGGAGGCTGGCGAGGAGTAGAAAGGGGGAAAAGTCAGTTTTGCAAAAGAGGAGGGAAAAAAAGGAGAGAGAGGGAGAGAGAGAAAAAATGCTTTATGGGAAAAAAAAAAAAAAAAGCCTTCCTCGGGCACGCCCCCTCGTTAATGACCTGCGTGTGAAGCCGACTGCCGCGGCGGCCCGGGCGGCAGCAGCCTCGGTGCAGCGCGGGGCCGCGCGCGTGAACGTGGACGTGGGCGCGTACACGGGGGGGGGCTCCGCCCGGGCGCGGGGCGCGGGGCTGGCGGGCGGCGCGGGCGCGGGTGTGAGCTCCGGACCGAGCGAGGGGAGGCGCCGGCGGCGCCGCTGCCTCCGCCGCCCGGGTCATGTGGGCTGGTTTTTTTTTTTTTTTTTTTTCCTCCTTTTTCTCTCCCCCCCCCCACACCCCGCCCTTCCCTCCGAGCAGTTTACTTGGGAGGGTAGGAGGAGGTGGTGGGGATTGGAGTAACCAGTCAGGCAGAGGCCTGCTGTTTGCTTACAGATCGGGTTTTTTTTTTTTTTTTTTTTTTTTTTTCTCCCTCTCTCTCCGTCTCGCTCTCTCTTTTCTCTAACCGGATTGGTCCGCTCCAGGAGAAAGAGGCGTTTTCCTGGCCTCCTCCCTCCCCACGCCCCCGCCCCCACCGCGCCCCACCTTCCTGAAACCTGACTAATTGAATTACCGAGAGTGCCGAGGCACCCTCTCCGCGGCCCGGCCCCGCCGCGCGTGTAACCCTTTGGTGGCTGAAGTGCGTCTGGACTCACAGCGATGTGGCATCTTTTTGTTGTTGTTTGGCTTGGGAGTGGGGTCTTTTCGACTGTGAAGGAGAGAGCCGAGCACGGCCCCTGGGACCGCTCAGGTGACGTGGAGTCTGCGCGGACAGGCTGGAGCGGCCCTAAGTGAACCGGGGTTCGCGCAGACCTCGGCTCGGTTCTTCGCGCCCCGCACGGCCCGGCGCCGGGTCATCTGGAAACCTGAGCATCTCCCTTGTGCCTCTCAGCCCGCTCTTCCTCCCTGAGATTTAGAGGCTCGTGGTGGGGGGAGGCGGGGGGCAGGAAATGGGACTTTTCTTTAAAGTGATGCTCTGAAAGCGGGTTTTGAAAAGTCGGGGGAAAATCTCAGCTTAGAGTGATTCCAATTCAGGGCGACCCTTCGGCTGGAAGGGGGGACCGATGCAGCGCGCGGGGCCGTCAGCACTTTACACCTTTCCCGTGCGGATGCTGGGCTGGGTCGCTGCGCACACGCACACTCACACCCCACATAAATGGCTTGAACTAAACTCCGTACGAGAAGAAAAGGGAGGGAAATAGTGGGGAGGGGAGGAAACGCCTTTACTACTTAAAAAGGCCGTGCTTTCCTAGGTTTGGTCAGGAGGTTGCAGGGCCCCGGCCTTTCGAGGCCCGTCCAGCTCGGGCGCCTCGGGACAGGTCCCCTGTGGCCCTGCGCCCTGGCAGCGAGCCCCGCACCCGGCGCTGCGGGACCTGCAGCCAGGCTTTTTATGTTGTTCTCTACTGGAACAGCCTGGAAGGAGGGCCGAACCCAAGAAAGAAACCAGTTACCTTTTTTTTTTCTCTCTCTTTCAAAACTGCGTCTTTTCCCTTTCACGTATTAGACTCAGTGAAATATCCTACTCTCCATCCTGCGCTTTCCAAAGCTCGGCCGGGGGTTTCCGGGCGCTTCGGAGAAATTTGGAAGCGTCCAGACGCCCTCCAGTGGCGGGCCTGCAGTCCGCACCCAGCAGGGCCATAGCCAGCAGCCTCGGCCCAGTGAGCCTGGCTGAAAATCTAAGGTCGGGCAGAGTGAAGGCTTCAAAGGAGAGAAGGTTCCCGCAGGCTGGGCGTTACCTGACATGATGGAAGTGTCCCTAGTTATCCTGGAGGGACGGTGGTGTCGAGAGACCGCATGTAAATTACAACCATATCTTTAGACTGAGTGACCTGAGAGACTGAATCACTGCCCTGATTTTTAAAGTTTAGATTCGGAATGTTCGCTTAAGTTCTCCTCTGTCTGCTTATTTCACCAAATCCCAGAAACCGTAGGATAAGATTTTATTTTTAAAATCAATTTGTATTTTCCTTTCAAATGCAACTGTCCCTTTGGCCTGTATATAATCTTTCAGGCGATCAAGTTCGAACCTGCTTTTTTTTTTTCTCTGCTGTGGAAGGATAGATTTCTTCCCCTGGTCTTTTTGGTAGCAACCCTAAGAGGCACTCATATGACAAAGGCAGTTTTGCAGGAAATGTTCTGGACCCTTTTAAAGGATATGTGTGTCTTTAGGAAGAAGAGAATTCACGACTCCTGTCTTGAGGAAAATGCTGAGCCTCAGGAAGAGGGCTATCAGGTATCACGGAGCTAGCCAGCTGGCTTCCTGGGACATCACAGTGGGAAGGGGATAGACAAAATGAAGTACCCACTTATTTCTCCCTTGGAGATGCATACAGATGTAAAGTCAGCGTATCAGAAGAACGAGCATATTTTAGTATCTAACGTATTAAAAATAGGATCGGCCCTATTTTAATAGGAAAAAAAGATGGTATGTTGTGGTCTTAAAATGGTCCATGTGGTGGGAATGAGATACTGAAAATTGAAATGGTTCAAAACAAAATTCAGATGTCTATGAGAAATTATTCTAAATTAAATGTCTCCTCCAGAGCCAAGTGTTGACCTTGGACTTACCAAGCAATATGACCCTTAAATACTTGAGTAGATACAATTTGAAGGAAAGGATGTATAAACTATACACATACGGCTAGATAGTGACTAGCTCTGCCGGAAACACACACTTTAAATCTACAGAAAATGGTTTCATATGAAATAATATGTTTAACCCCATGTTACCAGTCTGGCCTTCACACAGTAAGTAGCTTTTCTTCAGCTAAGGCAGGAGGTTCTTGTCTGACCGAAAGAAAACAAGAACCGTCAAAAGTGAAGGAATAAAAATGAAGGGAATCGTTGACGGCCTTAAGATCCACGAGATAAAAACAGCATAGAACCTGAAAAGCTGGCGTGTGAAGGGGCTTAACTGTTCTGAAAATGTTTGCATTTTATCGGCAACCAAGTACCCTGGTGACTTTAAAAGAAATGACATTGAGCCAATACCATATTTGCCTCAAATTAAAACATGAGCTGACGCTAATTTATTGATTTTTTTTTTCTTCTAACTGCCCAACCCTGTGTTCTAATCTTAGCTATGAAATAGAATCACGGAGGGGAGCTATCCGTAGGACAGCGCCTGAGCCCCTTTTGCTTGGGCGTAGGCCTGGATCTGTAATTTTTAAAAGCTCTCTGGAGAATTCTAATGAGCACAGAAGATTGAGAAGCGCTGATCCAGGTAATTTATTTTTTGCCTTAATTACTTAAGTCTTTCAAGAAAATAAGTCCCATTCTTATTTATCAGAAGTACCCCAGCTCACCATCAAGGCAGAGTTTCTTGATCCTGTCTACTAAGCTAAAGGAGGCTTTTAAACAATTTTCCATTCAACACAATTATTTACAAATGTCATCTACAAGATGTGGATGCAGGGGTAATGTTACTTTTAAATGTGGGTGAATCTTTCTTTTTTTGCTTATTGAAATTAACTTCCTAGAGTTCTATTATGTCAAGTCCCTAAACAAGTGAGTGAAATAAATAAATTAAATAAATAAAGGAATCAAGCTCCCACAGTTTGTAGACGAAGCAATTCCTAATTTAGGAAAATAAATTTAACTAGATATTAAGATGTTAAACTGGAACTTGTTTCCAACAGAAATAATAAAGGAAATAAACTCTAGGACAAGGATTAAAAAAAATTATAATTAAGAAAAAAGTCCTAACAGATGACTAACAGTATTTAAGCCAATCCTGTTTTTCTAGAGCTTATAGTGTTTGTTCTGAAGGCCCAGTAAGCCAGCCCCAACCACTAAGCCATCAGAATGAAGTTACTAATGAAGCTTTGCTCCACTGTTTACCCCCCCCCCATTCCTAAGAAGCTTATCA